GACTCCGTGCAAATATTAGATTTAAGGAGATTCAAAGAAGCTATAGTGTCCTGTGGTATGCATTCCCCATTTGTGAAGCAGATGTTAAACTGGCCCCCAATTACAGTGGAGGACCTGGTGGAAAGATGAGGCTAAGACCATTGAACAACATAGAAGGGCTAGAGGTATGGAAATCTCCCAAGATCAACGTCTTGGAGAGAGAAATTATGCTAATATAGAAAGGTAATCTCTATATGATGACCACACCCTGGCTTTATGCCAAATGGCAGCCTTGAATGCTTAGGACAGAATTGAAGAAGTAGCAAAGAAAATTGAGTCATTTACAAAAGTTATACAGGGCCCAAAAGAACCCATCACTGATTTCTTACAAAGGCTGTCTTCAGTAGTAAATAGAATAATCCTAAATTCAGAAGCTAGACAGATAATAATTGAATCTCTGGCTTTTGAAAATGTTAATGCGGGGCTGGAGAGATGGCACAGAGGTTAAGAGCACTGCTTGTTCTTCCAAAGGTCCTGAGTTCAATTCCAGCAACCACTTGGAGGCTCATAACCATCTGTAATGAGATCTGGCACCCTCTTCTGGCCTGCAGGGATACATGCAGGCAGAATACTGTATACATAATAAATAAATAAATCTTAAAAAAAAAAAAGAAGAAAAGAAAAGAAAAAAAGGAAAATGTTAATGCACAATGCAAAAGGATAATTAGGCTATTAAAGGCAAAATCAGCATCCTTGGAGGAATGTGTCTGAGATACAATGAATATTGAATCTCATGATCATGATGATACTTCATTAGGAGAGGTGATTTCCACAGGTTTGAAGAAAAATAGTAATGTCAGATGTTTCACTTGTGGTAAACAAGGTCACCTAAAAAGGGACTGTAAACAGGCATTCCTAGAAGCAATGTTTTTTCAAGGAACAATGGCAACAGAACGCCCCTCCCTCTGGATTATGCAGAAGGTGAGGCAAAGGCAGACACTGAACTAACAAATGTAGATCAACAAGGGACAGACAAGGTAATCCCTTGCCTTTGCCATTGGAAATTCCCTGAGGGACCTCTCGCAGGCCACCATGACAAATTTGGTTCATTCCTTTCCTGCTATCATGGAAGAAACCCCTTCCCAGAACAATTAAAGAACCTAATGCCTATTGTAAGAAATCATACTGCTCTGGGTGATAGAACAGTTTTAGAAAATAAAACAAAATTTAAGTAGAAACCATAAATCAAAATTGATAAAGATTAGATTGGAAACTTCCCAAAGTTAGGGTTGGGGAAAGGTTTTGTTTTTGTCTTTCAGGAGAGTGAAGGCTAAAGAATCTGAAGAACACTGGACAAATGAGACATCTGAAGAAAAAGGACAAATCATCCAGAAAAAATGTCCACGAAAAAGATTTTCTGCAGTGAACCATGACCACACCTAACAGCAACTTTGAAGTCTCCATGGGGCTGGAGAGATGGCTCAGTGGTTAAGAGCACTGGCTGATCTTCTAGAGGACTGGAGTTCAATTCCCAGCACCCACATGGCAGCTCACAACTATCTGTAACCCCAGTTCCAGGGGACCTGATACTCTCTCAAAGAAATACATGCAGAAGTCTCCAAAAACATGATGGGCGGATCCCACAATGGTGATTCCATCAGGACAATGATAATACCACTAAGCTGACAAACACCACCCAAAGATCAACTTTGGACTACAAACTGCTCAGGACAATTTTGAGATGGCTAGCTGAGATGATCCAGCCTCACAGACTACTCAAGCAAGGACTTGAGACAAGCCCTGCATTTCCCATTATGTAGAGACCGGACAAATGATACAGCTCCCTGTCCTGGGACTTGACAATTAACCCAAACATTTTCTTTTTCAGAATTCCCTAAAGATGCCTTCAACCCCAGACAGCAGGAAGTAATTTTAAGAACACGATGCCCACATTCCCAAGAGGTGGGATGGGTGGTTTTTGGTCGTTCAGTGGGTTATGGATAATTGTCATTGTTTATGATGGTTGGTTACAAGTTGTTATTGTTAATGGTCAGGAAAAAGGCTAAACAAATGAGATTAGATTTAGGGTTTTTGTTTGAAAAAAAGGAAAAAGAAAAAAGATATAGATATAAGATAAAAGGTAGATTATTGAATCTGCTCTGAGAAGAAAAACAGAGGATATAGATATGATAAGATAAAAGGTAGATTATTGAATCTATGCTGAAAAAAAGATAGAAATGATGGAAATGATGGATAAGGGTAGATTATTGAATCTACTCTGAAAAAAAAAGATACAGATATGATAGGATAACAGGGTAGATTATTGAATCTACCCTGAAAAGGATAAAACAGGAATATAGATATAAGATAAAAGGTAGATTATTGAATCTATTTTTTAAAAGCAACTATTGGTTTTAAATATTTTACATTAGATTGGATTTTTGTATATTGTTTACAAACTTTGTATATTGATACAAATTTGAGATTAATTTTGTTAGAAAATACTGTACATATATTTCTAATCTTGTTCAAGGTGTTGTACCTATATAGGTCATTTAAAAATGTAATACAAATTGCTAGTCCTTGAAAGTTATTATTATCAACTAATTAGGATATAAAGAAATGCAAGTTAGTATTCATCACCTATTATAATCAAACTTATAGTCAGGTTAGGTATGTTTTCAAGGTTAAACAGAAATATATTTTAGATAGAGATCTTCAGAATATGGTATTTAAGATGGTTTTTGTTTGTTTGTCTGTTTGAATTGATTTTTTGAGACAGGATTTCTCTGTGTAGCTTTGCACCTTTCCTGGAACTCACTCTGTAGCCCAGGCTGTCCTCTAACTCACAGAGATCCGCCTGGCTCTGCCCAGTGGTGGCACATGCCTTTAATCCCAGCACTTGGGAGGCAGAGCCAGGCGGATCTCTGTGAGTTCGAGGCCACATAATTTTTTTTATTTTTTTATGACTATGAGACACATCTGCTCCTGGCAGCACCAATCTACTTCAGAGAAGATGATGGGCATTGAAGAAACTCCACATGGAGTTAACTTTCTTTGTGGCAAGTTAGACACTGGGCTAGAAAATGCCCTTACCTCAACTGCTGACAGTATGCTGTCCAAATGGACAAGGGGGACACAAAGGACTGCCGGTCCTTGCCAAGACAGGCCCTTCATAATATCCTGCTTCACAGATGAGTCTATCAGGTATGCTAGGTCTATAGGCCAAAGATGGATGCCCCAACGTTGCAGAGAAATCTTGGGTGACTGTCCAGGCAGACAGCTGTTTCTGTCATTTCTCACATTTTTTGGAAGTCAATTATTTGTACTTTTTGTTTACTTAGGTAATGTTATTTCCTTCTCGGGTCTCTGAGGGAGTTGAAGATTACATAGTTATAGTTTTCCTTGTTACTCACTGAAGAGGTGTAAAGTGTATAAGATTGAAAGATATCAAAAGATATTTTTGGTTGGTAATACAAGTTAGGATAAAATGTGAATTAGGTACAACACTTTGGACTCACAAAAATAGGATAGATAATGGAGTATTTTCTCTGAATTTGTCAAATGTTTATGGACTGGACATTGTTAATGTAACTCTTGATTGTATATATTGTATATAGTTATTGTATATAGTTTTTCTTATATTAGTTATAACCTTCTTTTATTATTTTAGACAAAAAAGGGGAAATGTGGAGATATATTGTATACACTAATAAACTTGCCTGAGGATCAGAGGACAGAGCCAGCCACTAGATTAGACATAGAGACCAGTCATGGCACACACCCTTAATCCCATCACTCAGGAGGCAGTATGAGTTCAAGGTCACACTGGAAACACAGGCAGTGGTGGCACACATCTTTAATCCCAATACTGGGAAGCACACATCCCTTTAATCCCAGGAAGTGACAACAGGGTGGAGAAAGGTATATAACGAGTGAGGAAACAGGAACTAAAGCAGTTCAGCTGTGACCCTTTTGGGTGAGGACTCAGAGGCTTTCAGTCTGAGGATTCATAAAAACAGGATCAGCTGAGGAGTTGGCAAGGTGAGGTTGGCTGTGGCTGCTCTGCTTCTCTAATCTTTCAGCTTTCACCCCATTATCTGGCTCTGAGTTTTTTTTTTTTATTGTAAGACTATTTAGGATTCGAACAACAACTTTGTTATGCTGACTTACCATCATCCTGCCTGGCTTCCTCAAAGACAACGAACTGTGTCTTCACCTCACCCCTCCTCAACAGGCACTCTTGAAGCCTAAGCTTGTCCCTTTATGGTGCTTTCTACTCAGGAAATGCTGCCACCTGCCTTTGGAGGACTCACAAGTTGAGCAAGGTTCTTTCTCAGGCAGCCTTGTAGCTTCTCCTGATTCTTCACCTGAAATCTGGACATGACCTGGGTGGGGATTGCTCTGAATCCATATCCTACCTGCGTTGGTCCCAGCTGGCTCCCTGTCTCCAGATTCTCCATGGGTTCCTTTCCAGATCTCTTCCTGTTTCCAGATGTTTCTACTCTGCATTTACTCAGCAGGAAGAATGGGCTTTTTCTACCCCAGATTAATCCCACCTGGCAACCGTTTGGACACCGCTAGCCCGTCACACCCAGCTGCATCATTTCATGTGCTGCTTTCCCAAATCTCAAGCCGCCTTCCCCATTCAGTGCTCTTCCTAGGGAGCTGCTCATTCTGTTTTGTGCGTTTTTGTTTTTTTTTTAAGACAGTGCCTTACTGTGTAGCTCTGGCTGGCCTGGAACTCACTAGGTAGACCAGTCTGGCCTCAAACACAGAGTTCCACCTGCCTCAGCCTTCCAAGTGCTGGGATTAAAGGCACATGCCACCATGTTGTGGTGGTTTGAATGAGAATGGCCCCCATAGGCTCATATTTTTGGGCATTTGGTCTCCATGTAATGAGATTGTTTGGGAAGGAGTAGAAGGTGTGGCCTTGTTGGAGGAGGTCACTGAAGGTGGGCTTTGAGGTTTCAAAAGATTGAGGCATTTCCAGTGTGTTCTCTGCTTCTTCCTGTTTGTAGATCCAGACATGAACTCTCAGCTACTGCTCCAGTGCATGCCTGCCTGCCTGCTGCCATGCTCCCTGTCATGGACTTCAACCCTCTGAAACTGTAAACCCCAAGTATTCGCTCGGTTATCCTGGTCATGGTGTCTCATCACAGCAATAGAAAAGTAACTAAGACAAAGGTTGTTGCTGTGCTTTGTCGGAGACCACCTACTCGCTGGACTTTGTGTCCCACTTCTCCTCCTTCACAAGTTTGTTTCTTAAGGACAGTAGCTCCATAAACCGCATGTACCCACACCCCTGGGACCCCTGTAAAATCTGTTTGAATATGTTATGGCTTTAATGTCTCCACTAGCACATGCCAAAAAGGAGTTGCTTTTGTTACAGAATTAAGAGGTAGACTGTTTAAGGGGCAATTGAATCACAAGACCTCTGTCCTTTATGCCTGGCGTGGGTTATATTGGGGGAGTGGACCCCACTCTTCCTTCCCTGTCTCATTTTGTTTCTCTTCTGTCATGATATAGCAGAACATGGAGACCCTGCACAGATGCCTGACACCTGTTCTGGACCTCCCAGGTGCAAGAATGGTGAGTCATATATACTGTTGTTTATAAATACCCAGCCCGGGGTGGTTCCCAAGACACCGGCAGGCAGCCGATAGCTTGGTGGGTAGAGGTAACTGCCAGCAAGCCTGATGAGTCCCATCACCAGCCCTAGAACTCACATGATGGAAGAAGAGAACCGACTCCTGCAAGTTGTCCTTTGAGCTCTACAAACCTGTCAGGGGCCCATGTGCCCCAACCCCTACATTACACATGGATGTAATTTTAAAAATTAAAAAAAACTTAAGATGTCTGAGGAACTTAGGACTCCCTGCCTCCGGTCTTAACTGTTTTCACTAAGTGTTGGGTCCACTTTCTGTGCATTTACATATGCGTCTGTTTGGGTAACGGTGGAGGGCAGCATACAAAACTTTGGTTTCATTTTGAGTTCCAGAACTGTTATTGAGAACCAAGGCAATCCCCTCTCAGAGCCTCATGTGATAATAGCTTTGCCCTCCGGAGCACAGACCAGTTGCTCACCGCCAAACTGCCAAATTGTAGTCGGAGGTCTGCTAGCTGTTAACTGTGCTTCTGTTGAAAGCATCACCGGCCTGTCCAATCCCTGTGGTCTCCCTTTCTGCTGGTGCTCCTGACCGGAACAGGAGGAGGCTGGGACCCTGAAAGTGAGTGGTAGCCGGGGTAGCTGTTCTCCAGGAGAGGTTTACCCCCAGAATCTCAGGCTTCAGCCATGAAAGCTGAAGCAATAGTGAAATAAGCCCGATAAATTTGGCTTAAGTGCTTCCCTCTAGGTTTCCGAGTACAACAATTTGTCGTCTATTGCATCTAGCATAACTTTGATTTCGTTCACCAAGTGAAATCAAATAGGCCAGTGCCACTGGGGCCTCTGGCAGCTTCCTGGTGCTTCATAGTTGATGAGAGTGTCAACTCCACGTGGGGCCGAGAGGAAGAGAAGCAGGTTCCATTGCGTCGTCACGCCTGCGCGGTAGTGTTCCATTGCGTCGTCATGCCTGCGCACTAATGGATGCTAATGACAACCCCCGGTGGTGCAGCCAGGACGGGTGTCCTCTGCACTCTGGCCCATAGCAAAGCACGAGATGTCCAGAGGTGATAGCTCTGTGGTCCTTATAACTGTAAAAGAAACAACATTCCCAGAAGGTAGTTTTTCAATAATGCAGAGATACTCTATTGTTTGGAAAAGCTGAACTGATAAAATCCCAGGCATCACTCAAGTTTCCTATGACAAGATATACTTGCATGTGCACATATACAAGAAGGCATGCATATTAGCTATCTGTATAAAATATCTTTACATGGGAGGGTTATGTTCATTATTTTTCAGCAGAGAGGAAATCACCTTCATTTGACGACACAGAAATAACTCTGTCATGGCTGCATGTGTAGTTGAGTGGTAGAACACTTGCCTAGCATGCACAAGGCTCTGCACTTGATCTCCAGCAGAGGCCCCCCCAAAACTCCTCTGTGAATATTTTCATGCATATTGTCTTCCAGTCTTTTTTTAATATATATTTATAAATTTTTTTTTGAGATGGTCTCCTTACGTGGTATAGCTGCTCTTGAACTCATGATCTTGCTTTAGCCTCCTGAGTGCTGGGGTTATAAATAAGGCTAGTACCTCCATGGCCAGCTTAAAAATGTCTTTGTTCAAGTCTTAACACATGCAAAGATTATTATTTCACCTACCCACATCTGCTTACATAATAACAGTACTATCACCTCTACCCCACCAAAAAAAGTCCCCGCAGATGTCCCTTTATAGTTATATCTGTCAGTGAGAACTCATGGTAGAACATAAATTAGTAAAAATATAGGTTAATTTAAGTTGTAAGAGCTAGTTAAAAAACAAACCTAATCTAAAAGCCAAGCTTTCATAATTAATAATAATGTGGTCATGATTTGGGAGCTGGCTGGTGGGACTCATTACATATGGCATCCAGCCGGGCGGTGGTGGCGCACGCCTTTAATCCCAGCACTCAGGAGGCAGAGCCAGGCGGATCTCTGTGAGTTCGAGGCCAGCCTGGGCTACCAAGTGAGTTCCAGGAAAGGCGCAAAGCTACACAGAGAAACCCTGTCTCGAAAAACCAAAAAAAAAAAAAAAACAAAAAAAACATATGGCATCCAACATGGAGGCTTGAATATCCAAGCATGGGGCCTGAGAAAGCTAAGAAAAGTTCTGGACAAGGAGCTGGATGTGGATTTCTAGTCCTGCAGTCTATCAGGTGGGCTTGATGACATACAGAGCCAGCTGCCAGCGCCATGTGCTAAGCTGAGCCTCATGGTGATTGACATGGAAGTTTAAGATTTGTCTCACGCAGTCAGAGAATGATGTAGACGCTTAGTAAAGCCAAATCCAAACACAGAAAACCTCTAAAAAAGGAACAGTATGTTTTAAAATGTGCTTGGATACTAAAGAAAAAAAGAAAATTGGTATAGACAGTTATAGGAAAAATAAATAGTTTAAAAATAATAAAGTAGAGTCTTTAAAGATAAAGTAATATAAAAGGAATAAACCACATAAGGATGGGAAATACACAGGGTGTTTGGATCCTATATGGTGCTTTGTTGACTTTGAACTTTTTTAAATGCTAATGAACAAAAAACAATAGCTGCTGAGAGATATTGGATTATGGAAACTGCTAAATTAAACCAACCTATATATCTTAAGAAAGCCTTGGCCGGGCGGTGGTGGCACACGCCTTTAATCCCAGCACTCGGGAGGCAGAGGCAGGCAGATCTCTGTGAGTTCGAGGCCAGCCTGGGCTACCAAGTGAGTTCCAGGAAAGGCGCAAAGCTACACAGAGAAACCCTGTCTCGAAAAACCAAAAAAAAAAAAAAAGAAAGAATTAACTTCATAATGCAAGTCAGAAAATATGTTGCTTTGGGGGAGAGGTTATGCCTTTGTTTCCATAGGAAACAAAAAAAGTTATGGTTCTCTTCAAAATTAATAAAGATCAGATTTGATCAGGGGAGACCTCCTGAGGATCTTGTCTGCAGACATGAGGGAAAAAGCCAAGAAAGACTACAGGACAAGTGATGTATATATATGCTGATTCCTCAACACAGGAACAGCTCTGAGACTGGATGAGACATGATAAATCTTTATGGCTACAGAAGCCTCATGACTTATTATTACATGCCATCCTTTCATGTAGCATGGATAGAGGTTTGGTTATACAGTCCAAACAGACTTATAAAGTTGACAGATGCCTTTTACCTCCTCAAACATAGAACAAAAAAAAAATTATCTTTAGCTGACTTGTGCACACTGCATATTTCATACTTGTGTTAATGCAGATATGTATGTTTCCTTTGAAAGTTTATGTGTTTTCAGAAAAAAAGGACCAGCTACTAATGAAGTAAGTAGTATAGGTGATCTAGCCTCACAGAATGCCTCTGTTACAGTGTCCTCAAAATTTTGCATCCAGAACAACTTCAAAGCTGCTAGTTGAGATGGTCTAGCTTCACAGACTATCCAGCCAATACTTCCGATAAGCTCTACACTTTCCCTTCACACAAAGACTAAACAAAAAATAATACAGCTAGTTTCTCCAGGACTTGACCAGTATCTCAATTTTCTCAGGGTCCCCTAAAGATGTCATAGCCCTCAGACAGCAGGAAGTAATATTAAGAATACAACACCCACATTCCCAAGGTGGGGTGGGTGGTTTTGATTATTTGGTGTTTGTCATCATTTAGGGGGATTGGTTGCGAATTGTTACTGGTCATGGTAAGGGAGGAAACTAAACAAGCGAGGTTGGATTCAAGGACTTCCTTCTGAAGAGAAAAAAGGAGGATAAAGGGTAGATTATTGAATCTTCTTCAAACTAAAAAGCAACTATTAATCTCAAATATTTAATATGGATTTTTGTATATTGATACAAATTTAAGGTTGTTTTTGTTAAAAACATAATGTTTCTATGCTTGTTTAAGATATTTTTGTATATTGATACAAGTTTGAGGTTATTTTTATTACTTTACGTGTGTGTGTGTGTGTGTGTGTGTGTGTGTGTGTGTGTGTGTGTGTTTCTACTTTTATTTAAGGTATTGTACCTATGCAGCTCATTTAAAAATATAATGTAATGCCGGGCGGTGGTGGTGCATGCTTTTAATTTCAGCACTCGGGAGGTAGAGCCAGGTAGGTCTCAGTGAGTTCAAGGCCAGCCTAATCTATAGAGTGAGATCTAGGACAGGCATCAAAACTACATAGAGAAACCCTGTCTTAAAAAAAAAAAAAAAATCGGGCCGGGCGGTGGTGGCGCACGCCTTTAATCCCAGCACTCGGGAGGCAGAGCCAGGCGGATCGCTGTGAGTTCGAGGCCAGCCTGGACTACCAAGTGAGTTCCAGGAAAGGCGCAAACCTACACAGAGAAACCCTGTCTCGAAAAACCAAAAAAAAAAAAAAAAAAAAAAAAAAAAATCGAAGCCGGGCGGTGGTGGCGCACGCCTTTAATCCCAGTACTCGGGAGGCAGAGCCAGGTGGATCTCTGTGAGTTCGAGGCCAGCCTGGTCTACAGAGCAAGATCCAGGAAAGGCGCAAAGCTACACAGAGAAACCCTGTCTCGAAAAACAAAAACAAAAACAAAACAAAAAAAAAAAGAGCTGAATAGCCAATAACTAAGCAAGATGTATAGGCGGGACTTCCGGTCACAGAGAGAGGAAGTAGGAGATGAATCTAGGCACTAAAGAGATGCAGAGTGAGTCAGACCCGCAGAATGGGATAGAGGTCAAAGCCATGTGGTAGAATGTAGATTAATGAAAGTATGGGTTAATTTAAGTTATAAGAGCTAATTGAAAACAAGCTAAAGGCCAAGCTTTCATAATTAATAATAAGTCTGTGGTCATTATTTGGAAGCTGTCTGTCAGGGCAGAGAAGGACTCATTACAAGAACTTCTCATCTGCTCTCTGGTTGTGACAGTTTCAAGTTTATCAAATTAGCATATTGTCAGCTATGGTGGTGAATGCCTTTAGTCCTAGCACTTGGGAAGCAGAGGCAGGCAGTTCTTCA